CTAGAGATCTCCCTATAAGTGCATCAGAATAATCTGGAGGATAGTCACCATGCACCTGGCTGTAAATCTGGACATTATTGGCAGTCTTTAGCATTTTAAGAGACTAAGGTGATTTAGTGATCATTGCAAATAGCAGATTCTTAAGGAAAGCAGTCCAGCTGGCATAATATCCAAAAAGAGCAGGCCAAACTTGAAAGGACTCTATTTTTTAGCACATTGTGTGTACTTCCCTGGACCCCTTCCAAGGATGCTACTGACCCTCCATCTTGCTAACCTCCCCCCTGTCTATGTCTCCACTGGCTTCTGACTCTGCTCTGGCAGCTTGAGGAAGAGAGAGAGAGAGAGAGAGAGAGAGAGAGAGAGAGAGGTAGGTATCTCATTGACAGAGTCTACAAAATATCAAGTTCTTCCCTGTACATCTAATCAATACTCAATGACAGGTGAATTGAATTCCAAGTCAGTTGACCCACACCAGCATGACACACTAAGCCAAGAGTCTTTATAGACTTTTGTAGATTTTTAAAGTTCTATACAGTTCACTCAATTATTTTATTTATACCTATCTCCCTCAAACTAGAAGGAAAGCCATATCTCCAGCATCTCTAACAGGGAGAACAAGAGAAAGATATGGTCTCTGCCCTTGGGCCTGCTTGCTCTTGTGGGTAACAGCACATTTTGGCTTTATTGTTCTTCAGGGCACTTTATCAGCATGGGAAGCCAACTTATTTATGCCACTGTCACCACCCACCAGAAACTAAGTGCCTGGAAAACAGGGCCTTTGTTTTGCTCCGTGTTGTATTTTGAGTACCTAGAGCGCACAGTAGGTGGCACACAATACAACTCTGGTGCTGAGCACATAATAGGCATGCAATGAATATTTGTTGAGTGAATGAAGAATATTTAAGAAATGAAGAAACAATATCTAGGTACACCTGAGAAATTTGTAGCTTTTCTAGGAAATCTAATAATGAAAATGAATCTTGGGGAATGGCTGATTTCTGAAGCAGCCAAGGTGGGAAGCTGGGGTAAAAGTGGGGAGCAGATTCCAGCCCGTTGCCTGTTCCAAGCCTGCTGTGTACATCCTGCAGCTACTTCTTCTAACTGCAGCAAGGACCTGGAGGGAGGCACCTCCACCCACAGGACTTCTCCATTTTATAGACTGAGGCTTCCAGACCACTTTAGTGACCATAAGGGGTGCTCAGAATATCTGGGTTCTTTCCCATTCACCAATAGCACCTGCTGGATTCCCAATGGTTCCTATAGCTTTTGCTCCCCCCCCCCGCACCCCCACTGAATTTAAAAAATATCTGTCACATTGCTTGTCATAGACAAATCCCAGTGGACTAATAAATGTCATTTCTGGGCAGGGTGGGGGCTGAGATTGACATGCTCTGCTGAAATAACCTGCACCCAATCCACAATTTGTCAACTTCTTAATAGACTGATAAACAGTCACTAGAGAAATAGCTCATCTGGACAAATGTGACCTAACAAATGTCACCTAACTTCACTCCTATTTCCGCCCCCCATCAAAAAAAAAAAAAAAAAAACACTCTCAACTATTTACCTAGTGAGGAGCCCCACATACACAACTAGACCCTAGACTGAAGAGTGAGCCTGTCCTCATTGTAGCTGCCCAAGAGGGGAGACCCTCTGGCTCTGTGAAAAGGGCACTCAGCCCTCATCACCTGGTGGGTATGGTTTCATAAGAAGTGAAAGCTGCTCACAGCCTCCCCCAAGTACAGCTGGGGCATCTTCTGAAGATCAAAAAGTGATGCAGCTGTTGACCTGCCCAGCCCGGAGCAGGGTCACTCTGGCACTGAAAAGGTGTTTGAGAACAAAGGGGATTCTGTGCACTTGGCCAGCCCACAGGTGTGTGGAAAGGGCAGTCAGGTGTCGTGAGGGAGTGGGCCAAAAATCTAGTTTCCATGATGCGGGTCTGTTTTAGTCAGCTTTTTTTTTTTTTTTTTTTTTGCTGCTGTGACTAAAAGACCCAAATGGAACAACTTTAGAGGAGGAGAAGTTTATTTGAGGGCTTACAGTTTCAGAGGTACAAAGCCACTGACAGCTGGCTCCATTCCTCAGGTCTCCAGTAAGGCTGAACAACATGGCGGGAGGATGTGGCAGAGGGAAACAGCTCACGTGATTATCAGGAAGCAGAAAGACTCCACTTGCTAGATACAAATACATACCCCAAAGCCACACCCCCAATGCCCCACCTCCTCTAGTCACACCATACCTGCTTTCAATCCCCACCCAATTAATCCCATCAGGTGATATATTCATTGATAGGCTTAAGGCTCTTGCAACCCAAACATTTTCCCTCTGAACCCTCTCACATTGTCTTACACATGAGCTTTTGTGGGCACCTCACATCCAAACCATAACAAGTACCCAGAGAGAGCTGGGCGTGTCCTGTGAGGAAATTTCTCTCCTGTAAAGCCTAAGATAGTCTTGCTTGTAGACTTCTACAGTAGGTCCTGGGCACCTGTTTTCTTTCCTGCCTTCTACTCCTCTCATTCTTGCTCCTTTTGCTTCTCCCACTGATAGGGAACTGCCACACTTCAATACATGACCCTCTGAGATGCCTGCTACCTGAGATGCCTGCTACCTTCGGCCCTGAAGAATAACCTTCTGTTTCCCAGCCCTCCTGCTTTCAATCTTGAGATTGAGGCTGTCTAGTGCCCTGTAGGCCCTGGGCCCAACTAGGGTCCAAACAGGAGGAAGTTAAGAGGCACAGTGCTGGTAGCTCACCCCAAGTCAAGCCTTGGGGCTGTTTCCCTCTGACTTTAGTCCCCTAACTCTCAGACTGGGCTCCTAGCTGTGTGGCCTTCAGCAAATGACTTGCTCAGAACTCAGTTTTCTTGCCTGTGATTTGAGAATAGCACATTAAGTTGCAAGAGGATTAAGATGCTCAAAGGGGAGCACACAAAGAAGAACCTAGTACAGAGCTTAGAATCCAGAACATTTTCAACAGCATGTACCAAGACCCCTGTGCTCCCTTCTGACCAGGACTGCGAGCACTTCAAGTTAGTGAGCTAGAGAAAGGCTGTTCAGTTCTGTGCTAGGGGAGACTTCCAACTGTCCCATAATAACTGCTTCCCTATTTTTTTTTTTTTTGGTGGTACTGAGGATTGAACCCAGGACTTCATGCATACTAGGCAAGCACTCTACCACTGAGTTATATCCCCAGCACTGATTCACTTTTTCTTGGAAATAGAACCTCTAAGTTCTAAACTGTGCAAGACTGACCAAAATGACACTACATTTCCTGGTCTCTTTTCCAGATAGATGAGTATTATCATCGACCTAGGATTTGGCCAGTGGTATGGAGGGAGAAGTGTAGCCTATGACTTCCAGGAAGGTGCATGCTCATCCTCCTCCCTGCCACCTTCCTACAGGCTGGAATAAGACATGGTGGCTGGAGCCCAAGTGGCCACTTCAACTATGAAGTAGAAGCAAGTAGTAGGGGTTCAGAACAAGAAGGCACCTGAGTCCTTGAAATCTGGAAGACTATGCTTGCAAGGAATCCTCCTTGTGGACATCATCTATGTGGGAGGGAAATTACTTGACACTTTGTTTGAACCAATGTTTGCTTTGAGTTTTTCTATACCTTCCAGATAATCCTAATCCTGACTAATTAGTCTGTTTGACCAAGGTTCCTCCCTGGATATCAGAAGTTCACTGCAGGCCTTCAGGAAGCTTCCAGACACCTGCAGCAGAAGACACCATCCCTACAGCATCTCTAAAGCCAGAAATAGGGGCTTCCCAGGGCTGCTGACCACCTTGATTCTGAGGGTCAGTTCACTCCAAGAGAGAGGGAAGGGTACCAGGTTCACTAAGAAACAACCACAGCAGTTGCTCTGACATGCAAGATCACACATATTGGCTCCTTTCACTGGAGTGAATGAAGAGCAGAATAAATTTGCTAAAACATTAAGGAATTGCATCAGTCTTGTTAACTTGACATGTGCTGTGGTTCTTATCTGCCTGATGTTAGTCTTAGAAAACAACTTTCTATTTTGTATTCACATCAGGGCGTGATTCTGGATTGTCACCAAATCAAGTAGAGGAGTTAGAGTAGGATCATTCAAAGTGAGGCTCATAGATTAGCTGCCTGCCCTCACACTGTTTGTCATGAGTCTGCAATGAGATGACAGGCTTGTGCCAGAATGAAGATCAATGGCATCAAGAGCACAATGATTCCTTCAGCTGATTTTTTTTTTCTTTCATAGCAAGTCTTGTTTTCTTTCATAGCAATGGAAGGGTACACATTCCAGGCACAAGCTCTGTGTCTAGTTTCAGAGCACTTTGACTACCACAGCTCTAGAATATGGTGGCCCTGTTATGGAACATTTAAAACACACACACACACACACCCACACACAATCTTACCCCAAGTGCAATAAAATTAAAATCTCTGAGAATGGGGTTCATGTATTCGTATTATAACAAAGCACCACAGTCCACTCTGAGGAGTGCTCCTGGAGGAGACCAGTGTTTGGGTACCACGGGAGGATGCAGAATTGTCTTTCAGAACTCACAAAGGGTGAACTTCTGCTTGCACCCATGTTAAACTTCAGCTGGCCCGGCTGGGCACAACAAACTTTTGACAGTCTTTCTGGGTTCTTTATCTCCTACTGATTGGATAGGGGTTGACAAATTATCTTGGATAAAATTTAAACTTGGAGACATTTGATAATATTCTTTCTACAAGCCTTCGTTCAGACTGTAATTTTTCCTAAAGCTTTCAGTCCTGACTGAATTTATTCTCTCATGAAACACAAGCCCAGCTTCTTCAGTCAATACAAAAGAGGGAAGGGAACTTCCGTGTCCCCCCCACCCCCATGACAGAGCCCTGGCACCATCACTGCTGTTATCAGATGCCGCTGGTTGCATGAAAGGCTTGGTGCCCACAGAAGCAGGCCAATGTTCTCACAAATGGTGAGGTCTCCTGCGTGTGACTCCTAGGGAAGGAACCTGCACCCACTGTCCCTTACCGGCAGTTCCCAGGCTCAGCAGCACAGCCACCCAAAGGATCCAGAAGAAAATGAGGATGGCAAATGTCCATAGTGGCTGGAACAGCAGGAAAGGAGAGCTTCTGATGACTTTACTTGTGACTTGGAAAAGCTCCACTGTCAATTTTATTCTCTTTCTGAGGACAAAAATCAAGACGAGCAGAATTGCCTGGTGAGAAAGGGTTCAGAGTAAATTATTTCAAAATAATGGGGGAACTGGGTACAGCTTAAAGCAAGCCCTATTATTTTACTGACATTTCAGCAAATAGCTCTTTTAAGATAGTCATACATGACTTTTGTTATAACTGAACAGGTCAATTCCCAGGCATGAATTGAACACCTACTATGTACTGGTCCCTGTGCTAGATCCTGTAGCTAGAACAGTGAACACTGCTTAGTACCTTCCCAAAGGAGCTTTCAGTAGGGTCATAAAGTAAAGGCAAATGAGAATTAAGTCCTCTAGGGTCAGGAATCATCTCCTCTCCCTCCACCCAGAACCCAAGGTGCTCAAAGAAGGACAGCAAAGGACAAGGGAACATGAGTGTGAAGGAAAAGGACAGTGAGTATGTGCCAAGGCAGCCTCTGTGCCTTCTCCTCTATTGCTTTTTTTCTGCCCTGTATATAAGTACCTCTGAGTCTTTCATGTAAAGATGTAATCCTCGTTCACCCGACATTGGTCCATCCATTTCCCTATAGCTGAGTTTCTTAGCTTGTCTACACTGGCATCTACACTCATCTCCAACCACCTGCAAACCCCCAGACCCCCCACACTCTCCTGAAACTTCTCCCCCTAAGGTCACTTCATGTGAAGTCTGCTAGATTCCATAGAATATTCTACATTCCAAGTCTTTTTTTTTTTTTAATTTTTTTGCCTTGCTGTGTTTGGGAATGAACCCAGGACCTTGTGCATGCCAGGCAACTGTGCTACCACTGAGCCACATCCCCAGTCCCTCCAAGTCTTGCTTGGCCACAGCATAGCATTTGAATCTACTGTTCACTCTCTTTTCTGGTTCCTTCCACAATCTCTCTGGCTCTTCTACTATTTCAGTTATTGCTTCTTAGATCTTTGGGGGGAAGGAATCTTCGGCTCCTTTGTGGTTTTAGCATCCTTCCCAGATGCTGATGACCTTCAAATAAAAACACCAGCCTCACCTTTCTCTAAGCACTGGATGAAGAAGCATATTAGATATTAAAAAGACCATACACATCTTAAATCTCAAACTTACCCTGTCCTGAACCAAATTCATTATCTTTATGCCCAAATCTCTTCTTCCCTGTATTCCCTACCTCTAGTGGTCCTAATTTTTCTGGACTCCAAGATTCCTTTCTTGTATGTTCCCATTCTGTCCTATGGTTACCTAACCACAGTATTTGGCATTTTCCACTGCATATGTTTATATCTGAATCTCCCCTTAGATTGATTTCCTTGAGGCTAGCACACAGCATAATCCCTGTCACCTCTGATTCAGTTTCTTAAATATCTCTTAAGTCATCCTCTCCTCTCCAACACCACGGATGATGTCCCAGGTCCAGTCTCATCATCTCTTATCTGGCCCCCAATGGTCTCCTCATTAGTTGCCTGCATTTAATTTTCCTGATATGCCCCCACCTCAGTCCCCTCTCCTCTTATCTCACAGCTAAGGGACCTTTGTAAAGGGTGAAGCCTAGGGTGTCTTCTCCTTGCTAAAAATCCATCAATGGTTCCCCAGAACATCTGGATAAAGATCAGACTCATTATTATCACAGATCAGGACCTTCCAGAAATGAGCCCTCCCTGTACCTGCATCAGACTTTCATGGAGGGCACCTCTCCATGTGACCCTGTGTACTCTGTTTCCTTGCCTGAGCTGCCCTTTCTCTTCCAACTGGACTGGAGTATTTCTGCCCTCAAAGATCTCACACACAGTGGAGGAAAGACGTCAGAGGAAAGTAGGATAAATTGTGCAGAAGCTACTCCAGGATCTGCGAGCACACCCCTACTGGGGGGGTTCTTGAGAAGCCAAGCCCAGAAGAGACCTTTAAACTGCAAAGGGCTCTCAGTGCCTAACACAACCAACAAGGAAGGGACTGTTTCACTTTAACTGTTCAGGAAGCAAAGCGATATAATCTTTAGGCAAATAAATTTGGCTCTGGCTCCCAAGAGGAACCTTAATATAGGTAAGTATTTAAGTGTGTGTGTGTGTGTGTGTGTGTGTGTGTGTGTGTTACAGCTTATATTAGAAATATCCAGGTGATGCCCTGCTCACACTTAGAGTACACTGTGAGCATGTCCATCACAAGGAAAGGGTTGACTCTAATTTGTTCCTTTCCCCAATCTGGATGGAGATCAGTGTCACCACCCAGTGCTGCGGGTATGGACCGAGTGGGTGGACAGAGCTCACCACACAGGCTTCACTCCTAAGTGACAGGGAGCTGCATTCTGCTAATCATCCTAGAGTATTGGCTGAAGTGAACATATAATGCCACTCACCCCATTTTCCTCATTGTTGCAAATGATTATATTGAAACTCCTTAAGTGATATTCACAGTTGGCCCCCATCTTCCCAGAACATGTGCTCAAGTTTATTTGTAAGGCTCCTGCTAAGAACTCCAGGAACACATCCTTGCCTAGGAGGTCCTCGGTGGTCCCCGGGACCATACCTCTCAACAGCATTCCCAATTGATGCATGAGGAGACCAGGGCCTAAGAGGCCAAGTCATTTCTCCCAGGTCTCAGCGGTGGGCCCTGGATTTGGGCACAGGCCTGGGACTACAGAGGCTGGGCTCTTTTTTTTCTGGAACAAAGGCCACCATAAAAGGGGGGAGGAGCCCTGAAGTAAGCAACAAGGGATAAGGTTTGAGGGAAGTGACCCCCCTTCTCCATCTATTCCTTTCCTGATAATGTCAGTTTACTCCTTTCTCTTCTTTAATGAGAAGAGCTGAAATAAGAAGAGTCAGAGAAGGGAAGAGGGGCTTCTAATTACTTCTCCCCCCACCCCTGGAGATCAGCTCCAGGGTATCTGTGGGAGGTGTCTGCAGGTGTCTGTGGGAGCTGGTTAGTGTAGGGACCAAGCAGGGCGGGCAGTGGCTTCCCTGGGTGTGACCATCCTCTTCTTACCCAGACAGTTCTCAGCTGAGCATGTGAGCAGGTCACCTGCCAGGCAGTAATGGGGGTGGCTCTCTGGTGAATGTGGAGCCTCCATGGCGGATCTGCCTCTCGCAAGGAGTGGGGTCCACACCTCTGCAACAGCATTCCCATGTGATGCATGAGGAGACCAGGGCCTCAGAGGCCAAGTCATTTCTCCCAGGTCTCAGTGGTGGGCCCTGGATTTGGGCACAGGCCTGGGACCACCGAGACTGGGCTCTTTTCCTGTGCACTGTGCCAGGGCACTGCCTGCTGTGCACTTCACCTGGTCACAGGCTGTGCTGGCTTGTGGCAGTGCCTCTCTAGCTCCACTGTTTGATGCTGAGCCCTGTGTATGTTAGAAGTTGCGTGTAGCTGATGATGGAGACAAAGGATCTGGGCTCCTGTGAGGGTAAGAGTAGAGCCAGCCGGGCCAGCACAGGAGAGAAACCCAAGCCAAATGAGGGCACATGAGCCAAGGCTGGATTCTGCCCTCTGTACAGCCACCTGTGACACTCAGGGACAGGTGACACAGACTCACCTTTCCCTCACCTCATACTAGGTGAAGAGGAGAAGTCACCCCTGACCCTGAGATATGGTGGCCATGAATGGTGCAGTGTGTGAGGACAAAGGGGGCCCTGTGGAGGGCTGGGGAGGACCTGGCTCTCTCCCCAGCTCTGGGCCCTGCTCCTCCTCCCCTGAGCCCCAAAGCCCAGGCCTGGATGCTGGGGAGCCTTTTCCTCTACAGCCTCCTTCACAGTCCTGCTTAGCAGTGAGCCTGGACCTTGACTGAGGAAGGAGTCAGCTGCTTTATTGGACGCCACTTGCTCCCTGACACATCTTATGTAAAGAACATAAACCTGAAAACTCACTGTGGGAAGGAGAAAATGTGAAGCCTGTAACCAATATGAGACCTGAAGGATTTCCTCAGAAGAGAGAATGGAGCTGGTGAGAGAGTCTGCATTTGCAGAAAGGTTTAATGGGCTGTGGAAGGCCCTGGCTGCCTCTCTCCTGCACAACGGTGAGTGAGCAACAGCTTGCACTTGACCTGGGGTTACCAGAGGTTCAGCATCCCCCACCCCCAGAGCCTGGTGATTCTAGCACCTCTATGCCACCTGAGGAGTGACTGAAATGATTTTGGGTTGCCAGTCACCCTCCTCCAACCACCACTATCCCCTGCCTCAATATTCCCAGTTCTCCTGTTTTTAACTAGGGAGTTCACTGAGGAGGCAGCAGGTTGCCTGCAAACCAAAATAACTCAGTGGCTGGCAGGTGGGAGACAAAGGGCCCTGTGTGCTCAGGGCGGCGGAGCTGGCACACCCTGGGAGAGCTCAGTACCCACTGGCTCACAAACAGGAAATGAGAGCTGTCATAAACTGCTCCCTCCTCCCCAAAGGTCCACCGTTGGAGCCCTTGGGTAGGAAAGGCCTAACAGCAAGGATATAGAATCAGCCTCTGGAGGACAACAGAAATGACTTGGAAAGAATTTATATTTTTTTTAAGGTTTTTATTTATTCCTACATAGGTATCTCAAATCCAAAGAAGGTACCCCATCATGTAGGCACATTCTGAGGTGAAAGAAAAACAAACGCTAGTTGTTTTTGACTAAAATTCAATGATCTGGGTTTCAGAGCTCTGACTGGTGACTCAACCCACTGCTGAAAGGGTTTTCTTTTTCTTTTCTTTTTTTTTTTTGGGGCGGGGGGAAGGGTGAGGGATGAGTATCGGGATTCAACCCAATGGTGCTTAACCACTGAGCCATATCCCAGCCCTTTCTATTTTTTATTTTGAGACAGGGTCTCACTGAGTTGCTTAGGCCTCGATAAATTGCTGAGGCTGGCTTTGAATTTGTGATCCTCCTGCCTCACAAATCGCTGGGATGACAGGTGTGCACCACCACACCCAGTTGGAGGGGGTTTCTTACCGTGATGACTGTAGACACAATAGCAAACCCCAGCACACACTTCATATTTTCCCTTTCTGTGTCCAATTCTATGCTGAGGTCGTTGGTATAGTCATAATACAGCCACCATAAGATACCGCAGACAACTAGAAAACAACACCAGCAGGGGTCAGCACACACGCCCTGGGGTAACGTCCTCCCACTGTCAGCCCCCTGGGTGGCCCTGCTTAGGAGGTGGGTCCCAAGTTCCTGGGGCATTTATAGCCAGCAGCTGCTCTCTGGCGAAGCTGGGCAGAGCCAGGGTAGCCCACAGAGTACCCCCAGCCCATAAGAGCCTTTGGTTTTGGGAGACCCAGGAGGTGGCCCCAGAATACAGATGCCTAGCCCACAGGTTGGTCTAGTGTGAACAGGAAAGTAGCTACATCAACAGGACAGTAAGGGGAACTCTGTTAGTTTCCAAAGACTAAAATGTTCAGGCAAACTCTGCTGGAGATCTCTGCTGCAGAAGCCTGGACACTGGCTTCTGACCCACCAAAGCTAGGCAATTTACACAGGCTGTGGGACTCACGTATATCAGAGGCTTACTCTGAGGATACCTTGACATTGCAAATACTTTGCATTTAGCTATAAAACACTACTATAAGCCACCTCCACAGGAACTCCATAGAAGTCACAGCCGTCCACTAAGTGGAGGTAAGGAAAGTACCCCTCACAAGTCAGTGCTGCAATCCAGCACAGGGCTCTGGGGTGCTCCGATGCTGAGGGCAGAGCTGATAGTTCAGAGGAATGAAATACTACCGTCTCTCATTAAAAATAAAAAAAACACTGATACCCTTTTCCCAATGATCCTAGAAAGATCCACAATCCAGCAACTGCAGATGGGCCCACAGGGGCCTTTAGAACCCTATGCCTACTCAGGCCTGCTCTTCAGGTTGCAGAGCCTTTGCCTGACAACTGTGGTCACCAACATGCCAATGAGTGAGGTACAGGTTCAGAAAAGATCCTCCAGAATGCTTGTGATGGCACTGGAACTCTCTCTTAGTATTATGGGTACCAGGCTCATCTCAGGCCCGCAAAATATACTCGAAGCGACAACAGACTTGGCGTTAACTTTGCCATGATCTGTGAGACATGAGCAACTCCTGTCAATCTCCCTGGGTTTGGCTTTTCTTACGTGCAAAACGATGGGGCTGGATGAGACACTCTCTGAGACTCCATTCATCTCACAAATACCAACTTTTAAGTTCTGTACTTAATGGAAAGGCTTTTCATTTAATCAAAAAGAAATCCATCAAGAAGACATACTTACACAGCAATCCAAGAATAACCAATGAAATGAAAATGTGAACCAGAAGAGTGGTGATGAATCGGAAGATGAACATCATGGTCAAGGACAAGGCTGAAAAATCAAGAAAAACACATAAACCCAAACAGCAGCAAAGGGTGAGGGTGATGGTAGCAGAAGCAGGAAAAGTGAGGGCCCAGGGTTTTACTCCATCTCCAAATGTCTTGGGACACCTGCTAAATGCTAAAGGAAAATACAGGATATAATCAGGGCACCCTCTGAAGCATGTGGGGTTTAGTAGGCTGTAACAAAGCCAGTCTTCCTGAGTTAAAATTAAAAAGAAGGTATTTTATTCCCAAAAGCTCAAGTTATTTTTTTTCCTTACAAGTCTAACTGAACTGTTTAAAAATTTTACCATATTAAGTTTCATCCTGAGCGTGTGTGAAGTTCTGACTTTAAATGTCCTTAGGTACTTTTATTAAATCTAAAAGAATCATGCCTTTAAGATGAAAATTTTGAGTCTAAGTATATAAAGTAAGCTGTATAAAGCATTGCATTTCACTTTCCAACATTTGAGCTTGTATGCTTATGAATTTTTCTAAATATTTCAGTGAATCTATAAATGCTATTTTATTTTATTTTTTTACTAAACAGAAAATCAGGATTACATAAAGATATTTCAGTGTGGTGGCTGAGAACATGGAGTTTGGAATTAGACAGACCTGGGTTTGAGTCTCAGCTCTGTCACCCATTCTACTAGCTGCCACCCATTCTACTACTGGCCAAGGCACTTAAACTCTCTAAGCCTCAGGTTCCTCTACTCTGAGCAGAATGGGGTTTATCACATTAAAGCCTTAATGTGATAATAAGCACAGTGCCTGGTACCTGAGAATTGCTTGGGAAATAACAGTTGTTAATGCCATTATGAATATTTTTTTTTCTATGATTCTAACAAGTACAGCCCTTGTGGGGACATTAGGTTGAGGTATATGATATCAGGACTAGCCTGGATTTTTTTTTTTTTTTTTGGTATTTGTGGTTACCACATCAGTGTCTGGGAGTCAGAAAATACTATTTGGGTCATTTGAAGTTATTCTCAGTCTAAGTAAAAAGTTTGGACCCAATATATGGTGATTACTTAAGTTTCCCCAAGCCCCGGGGAATTAGTAACCTTTTGGTAATGAAATTAAGGAAAACTCAATTTGTGGAACTGGCCAAAATATGTTAATGGATGACCCACTGGGAAGGGACTAGATAATAGGTTATTGCTATGGTCTAAAGTTGCGGAGGGCGTTAACCTGTTCAAAGAGACAGTTGGTTCCAGGGGCTCAGCAAGTGGAAAGAGAGAGAGTGGGAAATCAAGGATCAAGAGTGGGTCACTGCTTCCAGAAATGCCCAGGAGAGGCATGTCTTGGCCCAAGGACTTCTTCTGCCTACAACCCAAAGCAGGTATGTTCCTTTGAAGAGCTGGATTCACCGGCACTGCAGTCTGACCCTCTTAATGTGGATGCATACTCCTCCCGGGCTCACCAGACAGCCCTCTGATCTGGCTCACCTACAGGTAGAAGGCACGTTGGCCAGAAGATGTGTTTTCTTATCCCCTGATGGTTGTACTTTTCAGAGCCAAAGAACAAACTTACTCTCTGCTTTATGCATCCATCCCTCATGCAGAGCTGAGAACAAAAAACTCCCAGAAACTGGTGAATACAAGCCAGTGAGGCTTCCTGGCAGATAGCCAGCGGACTTCTTCCATTCCCACTGTCCCTTTCCCAAAATTAACCTGAAATGTTGAAAATATCTTCAAAGAAAATAAACATAAAGTTTTATATTTAAGTTAAGAAGTTAATTTCAAGGCACTACATATTGAAGCTGTAGAAATTTTGGCATCCCACAAATAGCTGCTAAAATAAAATTAAAATTACCTAATGCGAAGATACACAGGCCAAGGATTGTATCTCTTGCTGACATTATTCCACTTAGAATTCGATGGAGGGTGTCAACATCATTTATCAAAACAGATGCAAACAGGGAATAGCACTCAGGTGTTTGAGGCACGCACCGGTTAAACAACGGGAAAGACTTGCTAAAAGTAAAAGAAGTGATAGCAAAAATGTTTATTTCATCATTCACCTTTAAAAAGATGTTCATTTAAAATTCTGCACAACCAAGAAAGGCTAAGCTCTGTCGTATTAAAAGGGTGTTTAGATATCTGTACACCTTAGGAAGCCAGGCGGCAGGTGATGGGGACCCACAGAAGCCTGAAACATGAACTTGGGGAACAACATTTTTGTTTTATTTCTGATGCTGGACATCAAACCCAGGGCCTTGTGCATACAAAGCAGGTGCTCCTGCTGAGCAACACTCCCAGCCAGAACAATACTTTAAAAATGAAAACAGTATATATTATTTAAGGTGTATAATGTGATGATTTGATATATACATTGTGAAATTGTTACCACAAACTAATTGACATATCCATCACCTCATAGTTAGTTTCTTTTTTTATGATGAAACATGTAAGATCTATTCTTAACTCTAGTTTACAATACAGTATTATTAACTATAGTTTCCATGCTACACATTATATCTCTAGAAGGTACTCCTCCTAATAAGTGAAACATACCCCAGACCAACATCTTCCCTTCCTCTGTCCTGGTAATCACCATTCTACTCTTTGTTGCCATAAACTTGATTTTTTTTAGACTTTCTTTATAAGTGAGATCATGTAGTATTTGTCCTGTTTCTGGCTTATTTTACTTAATATAATGTCCTCCAGGTTTATCTATACTGCAAATAGCAGGATTTTCTCCTCCTCCTCCTCCTTATACTTCTTTTTTTTTTTAAGATTGAATAAATCCTGTTCTATATGTATATACCATGTTTTATTTTTGGGGAACAACATTTTTGACTCTGATATGTCTCAGTCCTTCCTGGACTAATACCAACTCTAACATGAGAATCAGATTTCTTTAAGGCCCTAGTAGGGATATGCATTGAACGAACCTGAAGCTGTGTTAGTGACAGTACCAGCTTCATTATATCCTCCCAGGAAGCACTCTCAGAGTGAGTGCTTAAAAAATGAAGAATAACATATGAGTGACACCTTGGGTAAATGAGAAAGCAACTTTTTTTTTTTTTTTTTTTTTGGTGGTGCTGGGGATTGAACCCAGGGCCTTGTCCATACAAGGCAAGTACTCTACCAACCAAGCTATATCCCAGCCCAAGAATGCTAATCTTTTAGAATCCTTTCTTGAGATGTGAAAATAGCCTGGGAACATATATTCTGAAGATTTTAAAGAATTCTAAAGAATCTTAATGAGGCCATGGATACCTTCATGGCTTGCTTTCTTTCCATGATTCCCAAACAAAGGAAATAATACCAACCCAAGAAATGCCAAATTATCTAACAAGGTGCCAAAAAACTAAGGAGTCACTAATTGTTTTGTGAAATGTATGAAGATGAAACAAAGGAGGACCCAAATGCAAGCATCTCCATGCAATGAAGAAGGCAAAGGCTTCTGGAATTTCAATGAACACAACGTGGAAGGAGCTTCTTTAGGAGGTGACAATATTATAGCCATAGTTCCTGAGTCACCAAATAGTGATTTAAGAGAGAAGCAACACTGTAGAAAAATTTAATTTAAGTCTTGAAAGGGGTAAAACAGCCACCTGGCTCAAATTCCAAAAAATACATTAGACTAAAGCTTTAGAAATCACCCATCCTCATTCCTGAGTCATTGAGTCTGTTTCTTCACAGGAACCCTTGGTTTTGGTTTCTTGCCTATCAGTCTAAAGACATTCTTTTTAGCATATGCAAATGTAACAGGAAATTTAAATAGAAGTTTTGTAGCTGAGCTCAAAAATAACAAAAATTATACTCGAAAAACAAAATGTGAGATGCCGCCGTGCTGAGCTTGCCAAAAGAGGGCGTGGGTGGGGAAGGGGTAATGGGTTAGATTTTTCTTAACTCCCACACCCACACCAACAACAGAAAAAAAGGGCTGGGAGTTGGTTAGAAGAGCATTTTGAAAAAATAAACTTTTAATACTGAAATAATTTTAGAGTTACAGAAAAAGTATAAAGATGGAAAGAGAGTCCCTGTGTGCCCCTCACGGGCTTCTCCCTAATGTTAGCATCTTACACAAAACAGTGCTTTTGAGAGGATGAAGACTTAAGATTGACACTATGCTATTCACTAAACCACAACCTTTATTTGGACTTTATCATGTTCTACTAATGTCTTTTTTCTGTTCTGGGGTCCAAACAGGATCCCACAGTGCATTTAATTGTTATATCTCTTCTTTGGTCTGTGATAATCTCTTGGTCTGTCCTTGTTTCTCATGACCTTGACATTTCTGAAGATTTATGGTCAGGTATTTTGTAAGATGTCCTTCCATTTGTAGGAATTCTGTCATGTCTTCTCATGCAGTTAGACCACAGTTATGAGATTTTGGAAAAGATCAGAGAAAGGCATGGTTAGGGAACATGATTACCATCCCTATTGAACTTGGTGGCTTGGTTAAGGTGGGATGGCCATGTCTCTCCACGGTGGAGTTGACATTTTTCTCTTTCCATATTCTATTCTTTGGAAGTAAGTTGCTAAGACTTGCCCACACTTAAGGGGAGGGAAATTAAGCTCCATCTCCTAGAGGGAGAAGTATTTATCTTATGGGGATTCTTCTGTATACATTTAGCCTCTTTACTCCATTTATTTACTTATTTAATTATTGATTTTCATCAGTGTAGGCTTGTGGGTATTTATTCTATTGTTTTTGTTAAAATCTAATATGATCATTAGTTAGTCACTAGCAGGTATTTAAGGTTGTCCCCTGTGTCCTTCTGATATGCCTGGTCCTTTTTATATTTTTTTTCCTTGAGTACTTCTTTACTTTCTGGCTCTACAAAATGACCCAGGTTTAGCTGGTATTTTCCTCATCCAAGCTGTAGAATCCTTCATTTCTCCACAGATCCTTTAGAGAATAGCAATTAGAAACAAAAATCTGAGTATTGGACCTGCTCATTGTTACTCGGGTATCTCTATTCTAAGTCCCCTTATAATCAACCCCCATATGGCACATTCAGAATTGCTAGTCAGGTTAGGCATGTTGGTCCATGCCTCTAATCCCTGCTACTTGGGAGACTAAAGCAGGAGTATCGAAAGTTCAAGACCAGCTTTAGAAACTATCTCAAAACAAGATTTTATTGTATTTTACTTTTTGTTAGTGGGTATTGTACCCAGGGATGCTTTACCATTTAGTTACATTCCCAGTCCCCCACCCCATGGCTATTTTTTTTTTTTTTTTGACACAGGTTCTAAGTTGCTGAGAACCTTGCTAAGCTTCTCTCAAACTTTCAATCCTCCTGCCTCAGCCTCCCGAGTCACTGGGATTACAGGTGTGGGCTACTGGGCCCAGCAAAATAAAAAGTTAAAAGAGAATTGGTGATGTAACTCTGAAGTAGACCACACCTGGGTTCAATCCCCACTATCAAATAAATAAGTCCGTAAATAAATCATTTTTAAAAGTTTTTAAAAAGAATTGCTAGTTGGTACTGCTGTGATAAATTCACTCACTCAAGCAGTGTTTATGTATGGCTCTTTTTGTCTCTAGCTAATAGCATACAGTCACAAAGCTATTTTCCAAAGTCACTTAGGGCAATTTCTCCACCTCCTTCAGTGAGGCTGTGAAATATTTGTAATAGAGTTAGATTTTTAATTGTCTATGTTCTATCCTGAGAGCTCCTGACGCCTTGGCTGATTTTATTTTTTATTGGTATACAGTGAAATTCACTACTGTTCAGGTATTGACAAGTGCAGAGAGTCATTAGAACAGCAATTCTGAAGGTTGTTTTTTTTTTTTTTTCTGGAGAATGGTCATGTGTCCCCATCCTTGTTCCCAAGGGGAAGAGACTCATGGGCACCTCTCTTAAGTCAGAAGACAAGGGCTTCATGGGAAACTCACTGAGCTTAGGGAAGCCCAAAGATTAAGGTCTGAACCACCCTGGGAAATGTGGAGGGAGAGTGGCTTTGGCAACAGAGTGAAGGGCCATGACATTTGTCAGGGCCAAGGATGCCCCTATGAAATTGCTCATCTCCCCAGACCCTGGCCCCAAACAGCATTATCAAACCTTTAGAGGCTGACCATCTGCTAGGTGAAGACAGTGGAGACTTAGATGCCATGTCCTCTATCACAAGGAGACCCAGCCTCTTTTATGTTTAAGAAACATTTTATTTTTTTCTGTGAAACATTTATTCAGATTCCTACCCCATTTTTTTTGGCAGGGACTACTGGGGATTGAACTCAGGGCCTCTAGAGCACTGAGCCACATTCCCAGCCCTATTTCATATCTTATTTGGAGACAGGGTCTCACTGAGTTGCTTACTGCCTCACTTTTTCTGAGGCTGGCTTTGAACTTGCAACCCTCCTGCTTCAACCTCTGGAGCTGTTGGGATTATAGGCATACACCACCATGCCTGGCCCTACACCATTTTTACACTGAGATTTTGTTCTTTTCAAAGTCGATTTGCAAGATCTTTCACAAATTAGAGAAATCAATTTCTTTTCTTATATGAATTATGAGTATTTTCCTATTAACTTTGCTTCCAGTGTTTCTGTATGGCAGAAATGATTCCTTTTTTATGTAGTCAAATTAATGAATTTTTTTTTATGTCTTATGAGTTTTAAGCCATAGATAGAAGCCTTCCTACTCTTAGGTTATAAAAGAATTCTCCCTTGACTTCTTCCAGTACTTTTATCCTGGATGTTAACTGGTTGTGCAATACTATTTGTTGAATAGTTCTTTATTTAGGAAGATAATCTTATCATGTAGTAAATTTTTGTAAGCATTTGGGTCTAATCCTATTATTCTAATTATGATAAATTTAGAAATCAACTTAGGGAGAACTGACATTTTTTCTTTATATTAGCAAACTGTATTATTAAGAACACTGTATGCCTTTCCATTTGTTCAAGTTTTCTTTGTATCTGAAGAACATGTACAGGTTTTCTTCCTATAAATCTAGCAGATTCCTTGTTAAATGGGCTTCTAGGCACTTTTGTGTTTTTCTGTGTATTTTTTCTTGCT